ATGATTTATCCTTTATGGGAGCATGGACCTGGCCGTAGAAGCTCGATTAAACGCGGCATGGATGGAGTGGAGGGGGTCCACTGGTATCATCTGCGACCGTCAGTGCTCCAGGATCTCAAAGGAAAGGTTCACGGTTTGGTATGCCCACAATGCTCAACGGCAGCGAGTGTTGGCCTGAAATGAGATTACTCGGATGGGTCTGCAATTGGACGCTGCTGGATCGGAACAGAAATGAAGACGTCAGGGCAGCCATGTAAAGAGCCCCACCTCAGCTGAAGATGAGAAAGCACACCTGCGATGGTTCGGGAATGTACTAAGGAGACCGCAGAGCCATTTGATATGTAAGGCGATGGAGTTCGAGGCTCAAGGTAAGCGAGCACGAGAAGACCCAGAAGATCAAGAAGGAACTCGTCGAAGCTAAGGTGACAGCAGAAGATGCCGTGGACAGAAAGAAATGGAGATGTCTGACAAGAACAGCGAAGCCTGCGACGGTGCGGGATTAACGCTAGGTGGAGAAGAAGAAGAAATAGAGGAAGAAGATATGATAGTTATTGATTGCCTCTAAACATTGCTCTTTCTCATTGAAGTGGAGGAATCCACCACTAGGGGACGCCGTGGACTTTCCGACTACCTCTTCCTTACCATATCCACTCCCGATAACGATCCAATTTTTCTAGGGTAGTCCTATATCGGCATTTATTTCTTTATTTACAACATTCATCTATTAATCTCACTGAACACAATATTTATGTGGGCGGTGTATAGCAGTTTTCGATTGCCTCTAACCCACTGCTCTTTTTAGAAGTGGAGGAGACGCTTATACGCCCTTCCACGCGTATACTACCGTATTCACGCCCGAAAACAATCTTATGGACAGTCTTGTAAAAACATTTATATCTTCATTTCCATCGTTCATCCTCCTTGATTAATCTCACTGATCACAACATTCATATGGGCGGTGCATGACAGTTATTGATGGCATCTGAGCCAATGCTCGTTCCTATTGCTTATGCGTCCAATGCCATGTCACTCTCAACAGCGATCTAATCCTTGAAGACAGTTTTGTATCAAAATTCATTTCTACATTTGTGGCAGCCAGTTTTTTCCTTGATTAATTTCGCTGAGCACAATATTTATATGAGGCTGCATAATAGTGTTGATTACTTCTAACCATTGCTCGTTTTTGTTAAAGTGGAGGAATCCACCAATAAGAGACGTCTGGGTCTTCTCATCTACGTGTTCATTATCATATTCACTATTATTAGCGATCAAGTTCTCAAAGACAATCTTGTGTCGAAATATATTTCTACATTTGTGACAGTCGGTCTTTTATTAATTTCACTTAGCACAGTATTTATATGGGTCTGCAGGAAAAGGTTCAAAAATTCTGGTGACAAGGTGGTCCGAAAAGGGGAGGGGGTACTTTTTCGCGCTCTCCATCTCTGACACTTTGCGTAAGAGCAGAAGGGTCGGTCGGCTTTGCAGCCCTGCCATGATCATAGAACGGTTTCCTACAGAGTGTGATGCAGTTTTATGCCGAAAGAATAAGCCTCAAAAGGAGAGAGCAATGAGGTTGTTGAATAGTCGTTTGAGGTGATCGTACTGCCCACCTCGTTGCTTCTTTTCCTCTGAGCCTAGCAAAAAACAGTACTTCCCTGGCTAATTTCTATGCGCCAATACGGGCCCGCAAAGGCGGCTGCCACACATTTTCCGCAATCTAGCGCTTAGTAATAGAGACGAAGAATACCACTTTTTTCGAATTCATTCTGACCAATAAAGACATCATAGGATTTTCAAAGGGGTCCTAGTTAGTCGCAAAAACTATTTAAAGCTTTTTCTTGAGAGAATTCGTTTAATGGCACATTACGTACTACATACTTTACATATGGTATAAAGCCTCGTACTTTCTTTCTACGCCGAATTCCTCAACTTCTCCGCTAATTTGCTTCATACCGGACCATCACTTCCATTACTCGTCTAAAATAAGATATCCTAAAATTAATTCGAACTGTGCCTTTAGGAAGAATCATGAAGAGAGTCCAAGCCCCTTTCTGTGTTGCTCCAGTATTCATTACTGTTATGTCCATGTGTTGTCTTGGTAGTCTGCAGTGGAACGGATAACTGGATACGGCGGTTTATGGAAAGTACTGCCGATACAGCTGGAGGCCAAGTAGAGTGGGCAGGAATGAATTGCCACCATACTAAACTTTCATTTATAAAGGTTCAACAACATAAGGATAAGACTCTGGTGGTCATCATCATAGCCACCAATACACACAACAATTACGAAGGAAATGCTTTGAAAAAAAATTCCCCGTCTTCTCATGACTTTTCGAAGCCACTGTGAAAGGCTCTAACTCCTTTTCACTGATATTTCTTCTTGTCTCTGTTCAGTAGAAAGAATGGGTACACCAAAGTCAACTTTCTACGTTCACAATTCAAGAGGGAATGCAATTCAACACTCAGCAAGCAAACTAACGAGAAGTATCTGGGTATCTTTGTACAGATCTTCTTATTCTCTCCGAGCGTTGAGGTGGTACCTCGACCTTGTGTTCTCGTCGCCCCATAGCAGCGCAATATCTGTAGCATGTGTGGTCTCCTCTCGTCGCTTCCACATGTCGTCCAATTCGAGCGTCACAAGCAGTGCCAGCAACGACTTGTCTGATTCCGATTCTACCTGTAACTGATTTGCGTGTTTCCTCGTTATTCTTCCACTCAGGTCAGCTTCATAGTTGACTTTGCCGATTCGTCCGGTGATGGCACATTTTTTTCAGATGAGCTGTGACACTTTCCATACCTGAACCTACACTGCTTCGCCGATGTCGAATTCTTTTGGGATGGCATTGTTTCTTCTGTTGAACTGCCCTATCATTTTCTTCCGATTTTCTTCAGACGGTGGCGCGAGCGATTCTTCCATCGGATATTGTAGACTCAGTCGTGTGCGGAGTTTTCTTTCTAGAAACACTTCCGCTGGTGTCCTCTTGTTCAAACGGTCGTTTGGAGTTGCCCGGTATGCTTGAAGGATCATGTTCAGCGTCTCTTCCGACGGCTTCTCCTTCCCCTTGAGTTTCTTAATAACTCGTTTTGATTTGTCAACGAAACGTTCAGCTTGCCCGTTTGATTGCGTGTGGTAGGGAGCAGTTTTCACGTGCGTGATTCCTCCTTCTTCGCACATCATCCTGAATTGCTCCAGCGTAAACAGGGTTCCGTTGTCACTGACGATGATTTGCGGGATACCATATGTTGCAAACATATTCTTCAGTTCTTTCACCGTTTGACTTGCAGAGTTGCTTGCCATCTTGATGATTTCCCGCCTTTGCTGTATGAAACTACAACAACCAAATAAAATAGCACAGAAGCAGGTCCTGCGAAGTCGACGTGAATTCTTTGTCACACATAAGCGGGTGTCGACCAAGCTTCCAAGGGAGCTTTGATGGAATTCTTCGCATATTCTTGACACCTTGGACAGTTTCGCACTACTTCTTCTCAGTCCTTATCAAGGTTCGGCCAATACGCGTAACTTCCAGCAAGCTTTTTCATCCGTACGATTCCTGGATGACCAGCGTGCAGTTCCTTCAAAACTCTGCTCTGTAGTTCTTCCGGAAGACAACTCTTTCTCTGCCATCATGAGGCAACCCACCAACGGTTGATAGCGTTTCTCTTCCGTTGAAAAACAGTGACAGTTTGGAGTTGACCTTCGACCATTTGCCGGACTTCACATATGCCTTGACATTCCTGAGTAAGGAGTCCTTCGCGGTACTATCTCTGACATGCTCATGGGTCAGTGGTAGTCTTATGATGCAGTCGTTCAGCAATCTGGAAACATCATTCTCCACTGTTGCAACAACCACATCTTCGTCCGGAACATGGTGCTTCTGCATCAGTATTGAGAGACCATCCACTTGCCCGAACTGCGTGTTTTTGACATACTCAATGTCAAAATCGTATCCAAGCAAAAACGTGGTCCACTCCATAAGCCGATTTGTGGAGTATACTGGAACACCTTTCTCGTCTCTGAAAATTCTAACAGTGGCTTATGATCTGTCAACAGCAAAAACTTTTTTCCGAGCAAGTACTTGTAGAACTACTTGACTGCAGAAACAAGTCCATGAGCTCTCTTATCGATCTGTGAGTACTTCTTCTCAGTGTCTGACAGTGACCTTGAAGCATGCGCAATAGGCTTCTCCGTACCGTCTTCATATCTATGCGAGATAACACATCCGATACCATAATCACAAGCGTCAGCTGCCACAACAATCTTCTGCTGAGGGCCGTAGTGAGCAAGGTTGGCATCACTTGACAATGCTCCCTTCAATTTTTCGAATGCTTCATGTTCCTTGAAAGTCCACCTCTACTTCACATCTTTCTGGGTAATTCAAATAGCGGTCCACGGAAATTTTTCTTAGTTGGTACGAAAACTGATTAGTAGTAATCATTCCTAGAAGGATCTCAACTGCACAATATTTTTCGATTCATTCATGTTTTTTGTGGCTTTGATTTTCTCTTGATTGGGTCTCCTTCCATTCCTGTTCAGAATAAATTCGAGATATCGTATTTCTGGTCCGGAAAATGTACATTTGTCTAGACGTCTACATCTTATAGTTCAGTCACCATCTTGTTCATCCCTGGTGCAGTCTTGATTCCGAAATGCAGTCGACTGTATCTGAACAATCTTTTGTGCGTATTTATGATGACTTTCATCTTCGATTCTTTGGAAAGTTCCAACTGTAGGTATGCGTCCGATAAATAGATTTGCGAAAAGATTGCTCCGCCGTTTAAGGATGCGAAAATATCCTCTGGCATTGGCAAGGAATAACAACGCTCTGTTCAGCCCAGTTGAGAAATCAGCACATATTCTCAACTTTCCATTTTGCTTCTTGACACAAACGATGGGTGCGGCCCACTCACTATGGCTCACTGGTCCAATTACATTGATCTGCACGAGCCTATCTAGTTCTGCATTCACAGCTTCTACTGCTGCATGGGGTACCGGACGACTATTACAGAACACTGGGCACACATTTGTGTAAAGCTGCAAAAACTTGTTGTTTTGTGCAGCGCTCCAATCCTTCTACAACGACTCCTGGATAAGTTTTCTTCAACTCTTCTTCGATTTTGACCATGGGTGTCACCTTTATTTCCGCTGTCATCATCTCCAAGGGATACTTCATCTGTTCATTCGCTCGTATCCATTCGAGGCCAATGAGCGAGTTATACGGCGTCACATATGAATGACCTTTTGTTTCGATGCGCTTGATTTTGTTCTTGCTTTTCAGTTTTCCATAGTTCTTCATAGGTTCTCCGCTGGCATTCTTCACAATATTTGTCCTTCTCAATGCTGGGGATCCCATCTTCTTC